GTGAAAGAGAGAAAAACAAAGAAAGCAAATAGATGGGGAGGGGGAAGGAAGGAAGATGGAAAGAATGAAAGAGGTGGCAAGAAGGAGAGAGAAAAAAAGAAAGCAAATATATGGGGAGGAAGGAAGGGAGAGAGAAAGCTGAAAAGAAAGAGGTGGAAAGAAAGCAAATAAATGGAGGGAGGGAGGGAGAAATGGAAAGAAAGCTAGTTTAACTTTAAATGTGTTCTCCACGTCTGCTGGCTTGGCTTGGAAAAGGGATTTAAAGAGACAAATGCCCCCGACTATGAGAATGCATTTAAAGTTACTTTCTTTCTCTGCTCCCCCCCCCCACCTCAAGCCTACCCAGGGAGGGGAATTCTGGCTGGGGAAGGGAAGACAGATTAGGCAGGCCTGCTTCCCCAGCCGCCCTGCCAGGAGCCGCACAATATGTGTGAAAGAGCTGCAGTTTGGCCACCCGTGCTCTAAACCAAAGGCTGGGAATACAGTTAAAATAGTCTTATGTGGCTGCATCAAAGGCAAAAATTGTAAGTTCACCTACACCTAAAGGTGCTTCCAGCTAATTTTTAATTTTAGTTGACCATGCTTCCTTGCTCAGATACTTAAGATTTGCTCCTCCCTCTTTGGCCTTTTTCATCAACTTTTAACTTATTTGGGGGCACATAATTAAAAGGAAGCTTTAGACACATTGTCTGCATGAATGCTAGTGCCATTGCTAAGATGAACTGAAATTCCACATGCCATGTAGAAAATGTCATAGGGAACATGAACTCCACAATTTTTTTTTGTTCGCAGTATGGACAGGCATAGGGCAGAAAGCTTACATCTTTTTGAAAGACAGGATAGGGCCAGGCTGCTGCTTCTGACAATAGTATGTCTTAATCACGTCCTTAACCACTGTGGCTGACTGCTTCTCTCAGGAACGGACTAATGTGGCAAACTTCCCAGGGCATTCGGGCCCTATTACCAGCATTGCCTTCTCTGAGAATGGTTACTACCTGGCCACTGCAGCGGACGACTCGTCTGTCAAACTGTGGGATCTGCGCAAACTGAAGAACTTCAAGACACTGCAGCTGGACAATAATTTTGAGGTTTGTGTTACCTTCCTTTCCCCCTCAGGTGTCTGTATTTTTGATCCCTCTAATTTGCTAATAGTATCTGGAATCCCTTCTTGGGCGTGGGGTTCTTCTGCCTGCTTTTAAACCATGCCATGCCCATTATATACTCCTGTAGTAGTAGGGATGGGCACAAACCCAAGCCAGAGTCCGGGCTGGACTTTGCCCGGTTTGGAGTTTGTGAGCTGAGGGGAATGCGCTGGACTTTGCCCGGTTTGGAGTTTGTGAGCTGAGGGGAATGCGCCTTCCCCTAAACACTCACTGAGCTTTTTTGCTTGGTTCATAAGAACATTCAAGAAGCCAATGTTGGATCAGGCCAGTGGCCCATCCAGTCCAACACTGTCACACAGTGGCCAAAAATACCAGGTGCCATCAGGAGGTCCAGCAGTGGGGCCAGGACACTAGAAACCCTCCCACTGTTGCCCCACCCCACCCCCAAGCACCAAGAATACAGAGCATCACTTGCCCCAGACTGAGAGTTCCTATCTCTACTTGGTGGCTAATAGCCACGGATGGACCTCTGCTCCATATATTTATCCAATTCCCTCTTGAAGCCATGTGTGTTTGTAGCTGCCACCCCCTCCTGTGGCAGTGAATTCCATGTGTTAATTACTATTTGGGTGAAGAAGTACTTCCTTTTATCCGTTCTAACTCAACTGCTCAGCAATTTCATTGAGTGCCCATGAGTTCTTGTATTGTGAGAAAGGGAGAAAAGTACCTCTTTCTTTACCTGCTCTATCCTATGCATAATCTTGTAAAACTCGATCTTGTCACCCCTCAGTTGTTGTTTCTCCAAGCTAAAAACCCCCAAGTGCTTTAAGTTTTCTTCATAGGGAAAGTGTTCCAACCGTCTTATCATTCTAGTTGCTCTTTTCTGCACTTTTTCCAATGCTATAATATCCTTTTTGAGGTGTGGTGACCAGAATTGTACACAGTATTCCAAATGAGGTTGCACCATCAATTTATACAGGGGCATTATGATACTGGCTGAGTTGTTTTCAATTCCCTTTCTAATAATCCCCAGCATAGTGTTGGCCTTCTTTATTGCAGTCGCACACTGTCTGGACATTTTCAGTGAGTTATCTACTACTACTCCAAGATCTCTCTCTTGGTCAGTCTCTGCCAGCTTGGATCCCATCAATGTGTATTTATAGTTAGGATTTTTGGCCCCAATGTGCATCACTTTGCACTTGGCCGCATTGAGCCCCATTTGCCACGTTGATGCCCACTCGCCCATCCTTGACAGATCCCTTTGGAGTGCCTCACAATCCTGCTTTTCACCACCCTGAACAATTTAGTGTCATCTGCAAATTTAGCCACTTCACTGCTTACTCCCAACTCCAAATCATTAATGAACAAGTTAGAAAGCATCGGACCCGGTACTGAGCCCTGCGGTACCCCAGTGCTTACCACCCTCCACTGAGAAAATTGCCCATATATACTCACTCTCTGTTTCCTATTAATTAGCCAGTTTTTGATCCACAAAAGGACTTGTCCTTTTATCCCATGACTTTTGAGCCTTTGATGAGGAACTTTATCAAAAGCTTTCTGGAAGTCAAGGTAAACAGTATCTATTGTCCACATGTTTGTTCACCCCCTCAAAGAACACTAACAGGTTGGTGAGACAAGATCTTCCCTTACAGAACCCATGCTGGGTCTGCCTCTGTCTGTTGGCTTGTGTGTTCGGCATGCCACTTCCAGGTGGGGTTGGGTCCTGCCCCCATGCACCCACGTCACCAGTGTGCTCGCGTAACGTCCAAGTAATGTGGGCTGCTAGGGGTGGGGCCTGATGCCACCCAGAATTGGCGCGAGCACATCAGGGGGCCAACATGCTTGCACTTTTGGATGATGCGGGTGTGCCGGGGCGGAGCCCGACACCACACACAAACAGGTTCAGTTCGGGCAGGTTTTGTGCTCAGGGGTTTGGTTCGGGGCTGCCCGGTTCACGAGCCTCAGACTAAACTGGGTTTTCCTGGTCTGTGCCCATCCCTATCTAGTAGTCGCTAGCGCTACATGTAGCTTAGTTTTTGTGACCACTCGGCTAGGACAGAGGGTGCTGCACTTGGCTGAGAGTGTCGATGATTGAAGATGCGTGTATCTCCAATGCATGTTCCTCCTTTTTAGGTGAAATCTCTCATATTTGACCAGAGTGGCACTTATCTGGCCCTGGGTGGCACTGATGTCCAGGTGTATATCTGTAAACAGTGGACAGAGGTTCTCCACTTCACAGGTGAGAGGCTGGCGGATGTTATCAAGACACAGGTGGGGGTTGTTTTATTTGGACAAACATGCCATGGAGTAATTTTCTGTCTGATTATATTTACAGAGCATAGCGGCTTGACAACAGGAGTGGCCTTTGGGCACCATGCTAAATTTATTGCTTCTACAGGCATGGACAGAAGCCTGAAATTCTACAGCCTGTAGCCTCTGCTTCCTGTATGTGAAAGGGGTGGAGCTTGTTCTTCACTGTAGTGTTATGATATTGGGGGAACCATAGGGCACAAGGGGTGGGATGGGAGGGGGGGGGCTGAATGGAACTTAGGGTACCTCTATGGCCTTTATCTTGGCTCAGGATACCCATAGAATGGTAAGATGAGCCCTGTACTAAATGGATTTGTTTTCCTCTTCCACATTTGTTATTTTCCAGCTTTGTCTGTGCTGTGATTATACCAATACTGAGCCAGACCCACCCAGTGAGGGGTGGTGCCAGGGATGCGGATGAAGAGGGGGATGGCAAAATGTGCAGGTTCTGGGGTTTGTTTGTTTTTAAGCAGCTCTCTAGTTTCATTAAAAAAACTGTAACATAATTTGTGTGGCTCTGAGAAGAATCTCTTGATGTGATCATAAAAATATGTGGCCCTCACTTCTGGAAGGAAGCATCAGATTTGATTAATCCCAAAAATATAAAATTGCCATTTGTTTTATAGTTAGTTCAAAATAGTGTGATTATTAGCAAATGCTGAAAATAGGCCATTACTAGTTCTCCCTTGAAACAGAGATGAACGTAGCCCAGAGTAACTAAGTGGAAATGTGGTACACATGATCCACAGCACACTGATTACTAGGGAAGTTGGAAAATAGGGTGTTTGACATGGCACATGACTGGGATAAGAGCAGCCCCTGCTCCTTGCTTTCTTTACAGGTGGCTTCACAGGACAGATGGCTGCTCTATAAGCTAACTGGCCTGGCTCTGTCCAAGGGATGCTGCTATCCTCACTTTCCAAAAGGCTGTGTGATTATTGGGAGGTGGTGGGAACTTCTCAGTGGTCCGCTTTTCTCTACTAATGTGGACTGTAATGATTCCCTGCTTCCCTTTATCTTTTTCTTGGCGGAGCTGCTTGTTTCCTTCTTTGTTTCTCTGCCCATTAAATATGTATAGATATATGCTGCCCCAGCCTAGGGAACTGAGGGACCATCTAAAATCCTCCTTTTGTCTGATAATGGCACACAAGGGGCTGATGGTGATTCAAACCTAACAAACTGCTTTATTTTACTTTTGAGGGGAAATGGTCAGGTAGGTATCAGGTTTAGGACTTAGATGATGAACAGGCATGAGGTAACTTTGTATTTGTATACATATATACAAGACCTGGTTTGTCACAGTCCAGTAGTTGATTATACAGACAGGTCTCTAAAACTGTTGAGAGAAATCTTTTGGCAGTCTTTATGTAAATAAACAAGCATAAGCTTCTTTTGGGCCAAAAATCATAGAAATTGTAAATTAGTCCACAGTTTAACTTTTATGCTATGTAAACAGTGTGGGTTCCACATACAGGTGGCGAGGATAAGACAAGAGGAGGGGGGAAATGATAGAAGCCCCTTTGGGTCCTCACTGAGGGGAGAGAGGCCGGGTACAAAATGAAGTATATGGCTTTTAATGTCCATATTTCACCACTGAAACCTTCCTTTAGAAATGCTGATCAGCTTCTCTTCTAGTTTCTCAATTTTTATGATAGTGTCTTCTTTCCTACCATTCTTCACGAACGTAAGGACTAGAAGTGAACACATTACTCAAAGCCAGAGTTCTTGGAGTGCTTGTTTCTGTATCTAGGTCATAGTTCCATACTTAACCATCTGATGGGGGTTAACAGAGAAAGCGGTGCGGGCCCGTAGGCAGGATTTTTTTAAATTCGGGGGGCTTTTAAATACATCAGGGGGCACCCCCACACCTCCCCCCAAGGGCAGCCTCCTCCGGGGGGGGGAGTACTGCTGCAGATTCACAGGAGCTGGAAGGGGAATATTCCCCCTCCCCCCAGTCTGGAAGCAGTGATCCCAGGTAGGAGTCTGGCGACCTGTCCAGATCAGGGAGTGCCAGCCGGGGGGAGGGGGGCTGACTGAAATGCTGGAGCGGTGACCCCTCGTGGGGGAAAAACGGATGGGAAAGAGCGAGAGCAGCGGTAAAGCCAAGCAGTGAGTGGGGAAAGGAGGCAGAGAGACTCCTGCTAGGGGGCCAGGCTGGGGAGGGGGTGGGTGAGCAAGCAGGGAGCCTGGGACCTCAGGTGAAGGGGAGGCATACAGAGTGACCAAGGAGGACGCAGAGAGGACAAAGGCGGAGGGGCGCAGCAGAGCGGGACTGGGGGAAGGAGCCCTGGCGGGACTTTCAAAGCAGCCTTGTTTGCCACAGCTGCAGGCAGACAAGGTGAGCTGAAGTGTGACAGGCAGAGCAGCGAGGAGGGCAGAAAAGACCTGCTTCTGCTCTTCCCACATGGCCTGCCTTCCTTGGAAGGTCTTCTCTTTGGGGGGAGAGGCTGGACTCAGCAGCTTCTTCTTACTTCCACCGGTCCGCCCCTCCCTCTGGCCCATGGCAGTGCCTAGTTGGGGCTTAGCAGAACGAGGCTACCCAGTGTCTCTCACCACTCCAGCTGGGATAGGTGCACTTGGGGAAGGGGCAATGGGAGGGAGGGTCCTCCGCCCCCCCAGAGAGTCATCGGGCCTTGGCAGGAGGTTGGGGGGGGGCTGGGCCCCAAGTGGCCCCATCGTAGCTACAGGCCTCTGGGCTAGAGTGTGGCTTTGATATAGATGCCAGCTTCAGGCGAGATTGAGGATCTAGCACAGGTGTGTACCCACGGTTTGATGGCTTAATTTTAGAAACATGCATTTTTTTAAGTAGTCCCATTCCCTTAGGTAACTAAATGCCAAAAACAATTATTCATTTCCTTCTTGGATGGTAAAGTTCAGATAGTGCAAAGGGAGACAGATGAAATAACAGGACTGTGTCGCAAAATCTTAACGTTCATTGGGCTGATGGAAGTACCTACAGCTTCTGCCTCTGTTCTGCTGCTACTCTTCTCCTTGGCCCTCCAGTGGAAGCCTGGGTGCCCACTCCCTGTCAGGATGCCAACTACAGGTTCTTGGGGTAGTTGAACCACTCGCTCATAATACAGCTTGCCTACTCGTAAGATAGGTTTAGCTTCGCCTTGAACTAAGACACTTTCTCCTTTCTCTCTGAAACTTGACATGGAAGAGATTCCTTTGATGAACAGTTCTGAGAATTCCACCCAAAATTCCAACTGGAAGTTAGTTTTCTGCCACACCCAATAAGAACAAATGGAGCATTAAGCCACATATGCCTATTTCTTCCCAGTTCCATTTCCAGCTAATTATTTAGAACTGCACTAAAAATCTCACTGGGGGCGTGAGGTAGATTCCTTTAGTCTACATCAGTCTGTTAAACAGATTAGATCCCTAACAGGTTTCACATCTTCTCAGGATATGCATATGAACAATCAGGGATAGCTGTCTGTGTTTCAGTTAAATGTTACCTGAAGCATTTTCAGGTATGAAGAATGAGAATCCATTTTGAACATGCTGCCAAGGTGAATCATTGGCCAATGAGCACAAAGGGAATATTCTGCTGTTTCTTGCAAGAGGGGGGTCACACTCTCCTCCCTGAAGACTTTACATACTTAATACTGCAGTAATACTGTACCCAACTCTGCTTCCTGGGACCAACACCACCAGTCATGATCAGAAATCTATCTGCTTCACTTTGTACCCCCACCTTTCACCCAAACGGGGACCGAAGACAGCTTACGTCATTCTCCTCCATTTTACCCTCACAACAACCCCGTGAGGTAGGTTAGGCTGAGGGAATGTGACTGGCCCAAGGTCACCCAGTGGGCTTTCATGGCATGAGTGGGAATTCAAACCCAGGTCTTCCAGACACTTAACCACTATACCACACTGGCTCACCTGTGAGTTAGCATTGGCTTTTATTTTTGTCTTACATCTCTGCTACAGAGAAGAGTCAGGATCTTTTACGGTTCCATCTCCAGAGCATGGTCAGCAATACGACCACAGAAGACACAGTTGCCACACAAAGGAACCACAAGACAACAGAGTTAAAATCTGTTTGGATTCCTGAGCCTGGAATAGATACACAGTAACGTTAGAACTGCACTAACACAGTAACACCGCCTTACTCGGATGGCATCAGTGAATGACCAGGTTGGTTTCAGCTTCAAGATTTATAGCTACTTTCCAGCAGCAAGTGTCTGCCTTCTCCACGTACATAATGGCTACAAAAGTCCCCCCATTCATGTAATAGCCACCATGGCCAATCCCACCTTCTGCAGCCATTAAATAGTGGTGGAAGACATCACACGGTTTCAGATGTACAGTTGTTGCAGAAGTGTGGGGGGCAAGCAGCAGAGCTTCCTGCTCTCCAGCCTTCTCGCCTTTAATTCCAAACAGTCTCCCTGTGTACCCTTCACCCCCAACTCAGGGAATGCTTCTCACTGGCTTTTGCCACAACTGTTTATAGGCTAAGGCATCTCAGTTTTTAAAACTCCAGTTTTCTGCTACTAATACCAAGAAAAATGGTCACTTGGGGGGGCAGGGTACTATGAAACAAAACAAATACCTTTTAACAGCTTAGGCAAAAAGCTGAAGCCTGGCTAAAAAGCCAATAGATGCCTATTCATTTGGTTACAGGATATGTTCCTGCAGAGGGCAGGGGGTTGGACTAGATGACCTGCAAGGCCCCTTCCAACTCGTAACATTCCATGATTCTATCAGTCTGTTGCCCTGACTTGGATAGCCCAGGCTTGTCAGATCTCAGAAGCTAACCCTGGTTAGTCTGTGGCTGAGAGACCACCAAGGAAACCCAGGTCGCTACACAGAAGCAGGCAGTGGCAATGGATGTCTCTTGCCTTGAAAACCCTACCTGGGATTACCAGGAGTTGGCTGTGGCTTGACAACAAAAAATTAAAAAGTCTGATGCCCAAAATCAGCTTCCAGAGTGTGTGTGCGTAGGGAAACATGGGTCAGCCACTCGCTGCTCCCAGTCATCTCACAGTTCCAGAACAAAAGCAGTATACTTATCTCATACCCATACACCAAACCAGGGGGGCCAACTGAAAAATACGTTGAATTTTTCAAGCCCCCCACACTTGAATTTTTGTCAGACAGAAGGGGATGGCTAGTTATCACCAGACATGACGATTAAGTGCCAGAATTTAACAAAAACGGACAGTTCCCTGCTCCTCATGCAAAGGGAGGGTAACTGAAATGGCTCACGTGTGCTGAGCAGTTAGTTGGACTCTGAAAGACTGATGCTTTGTTCTACAGGGCAGTCTAACCAATTATGAAGCCCCTCCATTTACAGAGGATTCAAGCTGTCAAGCAACACTTAGCAGGGAGGGAACTGAGCTTGAAGCTTCTGTGAAACAATGGACAACTTGTTCAAAGAAGATAAGTTGCCCCCTAACAGACCAGCTGCTTGAAAAGGAGGTTTTTGGCTTAATGAGCTAGTTTATATCCACTTAAGTCAGTGTTGATCACAAAATGTTTATTCTTCATGCCTTGAAAGATTCCTCCATGGTATTCCATTGTACATCCTGGGGTGCTACAGTAAAGTGATTTGTATTCATTTTCAACAATTAGCTGCCAGGAAACCTTCAGTAGTGATTCATGGACCGACAAGTAGCTATGTGGTTTGAGTCCATTGGTAGCAATGAAAATAAGACAGGATCAGCGAGATAATCTTATTACAAAGGAACTTACCATTAGACACTGGCTGCTTGGTCTCAGGAAAGATCACAGGTCCATGAGAGCTTGCCAGATCCACAGGCTCTGTCCTATTCAGAGGGTTCAAAAACCTACGGCCTCCTAGGAGATGTAGCAACAAGAAACTTTTGAGTACACTGACAACGTTTACATATAATGCTAGACTACGCTTGGCCACAAAAAAATAACAGCAGTTAAAGTGGTGAATCACCTTTGTCATGATTAACTCAACTGCTTGTTCTAACTGAAACATTTGAGGTGCTTGTTCATGTGTGTGAATTGCTACATGCCCATTGGAAGACTGTCGTGTGCAGCATATAGATCTCCTCTTAAACATGTACACAGAATTCTGCAGAGGGGGCAGTTTGGAATGGGAAGATCTTAGGCAGAGAAAGGCTTAGGCAACCTACTCCAAATTATGATTTCTGAAGACGCTTCTCTTTACAAAAGAGACATCTGGGTTTTGCTACATATAATTAATGTATTTTAACATAACAATTTTTCTTCTCAGATTTCATTTTCAATTTCCCAACTAGTCTTGCAACAAGATACCAGTCTTCCTCCCTAAAATGTTCAAGCAGTATCTTTCCTCTAGGGTATAGTGGGAACTGTACTGGATGAACCCTCCTGAATCAGTCCCAAGCAAGAGTGTGAATTAACAGCTCTTGTGCTCATGTACCCCTGTCTTTGGAGGGACTGGTGCTTATGCCAGGTTTTCACATTTGGAACCAATGTGCATCAGGCAAGAGAGGTCACTTACTTGAAGATCTAGTGCTGCATGTTGTTCTGCAAGGCTCAAACTGGGAGGAATAGCAGGCTGATGCACTACAGAAGAGGTACACCTGAAACAACAAAGTCTCACTCAAGTTTTACATTGAAGTTCATAGCCAAGATGTGGACACCACTCACTAAGGGTTCCTATTTTACTACTAAGATACTTGCTAAAGAGAAGGCAGTTTGATTTACCAACAAGAATACACTGATACATTGTGAGCAGTACATTTCTTTGGGCTGACCCCGAGTTCGCTGTACAACAAGCACAAGGTTTATCGTCAGTAGAGGAAGAAAGCATCCTTATTCTATTTTGCAGTGTTTTTTCCCTGTGCGGATACTTATTTCCACCAACAGGGGGCTCTCTCTCCCCCAACAGCTTTTCCTACATAGTAGACTTCCTGAGTTTGTAGAAAAATCAAAAACTAAAAAAAAAAATCCCTTCAGGGACGGCTAAATTCCCCCAAAAACCTTTTGAAATGGCCTCCGATCTGCTTCAGGCATCAATGGTGAGAGATTAGAATGTTTGGTGGGTGGGGCTTCTAACTGGCTTTGTCAGTAAAAGGGTGGGGGAAGGGCCCTTTCCAGGCCTCTTTTGGCCTTTCACGGCGGGAGGGAAGGAGGGAGCCTTGGGGCCAGGCCTCACAAGGGTTGCCAGTGCCAGGCTAGGGAATTTCTAGAGATTTTGTGGTGGACTCTAAGGAGGGCTGGGTTTGGGAAGGGAGAGGCCTCAGCTGGGTATAATGCCACAGAGTCCACCCTCCAAAGCAGCCATTTTCTGCAGGGAGACAGACCTCTGCTGTCGAGAGTCCAGTTGTAATTCTGGGGGGTCTCCAGGTCCCACTTGGAGGTTGGCAACTCTAGGCCTGGCAGTAGTTTAGGGTTGCCAGGTCCCCCCTGAATTGCATGACTCACCTAGCCTCGGTTGTTTGCTATCGTTCATCAGCAGCCACCCTATGAAAGCCAGTGAGGTGCAGCAGTTAGAGCTTCAAAGTAGGGTCTGCAAGACCCAGGTTCAGATCCCCATCTTGCAGTGGAAGCTGACTGTGTGATTTTGGACCAGTCACATATTTCAGCCTAACCAACCTCACAGAGTTGTGCAGATAAAAAGGAGGAGGGAATAATGAAAGCTGCTTTGGTCCGGGTGGGATTTGAGGAGGGGAGGAACTTCGGACTGGTGTAATGTCATGCACTCCACCCTCCAGCCATTTCCTCCACGAGAACCACCATTGCCAGCCTCCAGGTGAAGACTGGAGATCACTCAGAATAACAACTGTTGTCCAGGCGACAGAGATCAGTTCCCCTGGATAAAATGGCTGTTTTGGAGGGTTGAATCTATGGCATCATACCCTGCTGAGGCTGCTTGCCACCCCAAGCCTCACTGTCCCAAGGCTCCACCCCCAAATCTCCAGGAACTTCCCAACCTGGAGCTGGCAGCCCTAAGGTGAATTGATCTCTGTAGCTGGGAGATCCGTTGTGATTCCCAGACCGCTGCCACTGCTGCTGTGGGGGGAGAGGAAGCAGGTGGGTGGCTAGGAGCACTGCCACCACTGCTGCTGCTGCTCTGCAGAGTGGGGGAGGGAGCAGGCAGGAGACTGGGAGAGTGATGGGGGCAGAAAGAAAGAATGATGGGGTGGGGGCAGAAAGAGAGAGAAAGAGTGATGAAGTGGGGAGGCAGAATAACAAAGAGAAAGATGACAAGTCAGAAAGAAAGAGGAAGTCACATGCATGGAGGAGAAATAGAGAGTAAGAAAAGGGGGGCAGAGGGGAGAAATAGTGTGAGAGAGGTAGGGGGTGGGGAGAGGAAGCAAAGGTGTGACGAATGAGATAACCATCCTGCAAGTTCCTTGCGGGTCTCCACTTGTTTATTACTAATATATCCTAGTTCCCCATTAAAGTTTTCTAAACTGAAAGACAATGTTTGTGAAGAAAGTACAGCACAGCAAAGGAGAATGATAGCTGGCTAGCAAGTTTGTTGCTCTTTGGGACCCACTGCACCATGGAGGCTTCCTGTCTATGTATTGCTCCCTGGCAAGCAACTGTAAATATATTGCCTTACCAACTGACTGAGCAGCACCTGAGAGCCAGAGTCCACAAATGTGAAAGTAGAAATGGTGAAGCGCTGGGAGTGAGTCGGAAAAGGCAGCTCAGACGAGGCAGGCCCTGGAGGCACCCGCTGGGTCCTGTAGTTGTCTCCTTCAAATGGGCACCTGGGAACAAGAAGCATGGCCGTTCTTCAGACAGACACTGGGAGCCAGCCCGCACGCACGCCCGCCACAATCGAGAACGAGCGGCTTCTTCTCCACTCACCCATCCACCAGGATCGGCCACTGCAGCAGCTCAAGGGGATTAGCACTGGGAGTGGCCCAACAGTCATGCAGAACCAGGACCAGGGACGGGTCCGATCTCTGCAGGATGCGAACCTCCACGTGCACAGGGTCCCTGAGTACCTTCACCACAGGATAGTCTCCATCCAAGTAATAGGATTTGTAGCTGGCATCTGGGGATGAGAGGCAAAGCAACAGTGTCGGCAGCGTGCATCTTCAGGAGAAGACCGTGGTCTTGGCACCAAGTGGAGGAGAATGTTTACCTGTAGCAATGCGCAGTTCCAGCCTGAGAGGCCCCATCTGGGAAACTGGAGCCGGGGTGGGAGGCAAGAGGACTTCAGCCTGGACTGGCAGGAAGTCAGTGGCATTGTAGACGCAGCGAGCATGGAGACTGCGTGCAGAAGAGGACAGATGGCTCATTTATTAATATGATTTCTCTATCCTACTTTTTGGTTGTAACATGCCCCTTATAGAAGCTTACATAATATTTCATAATTATTACAATATTACATAATATTGGTTTAGCATAGGAAAAGGAGTACGACAAGGATGTATATTGTCACCTTGCTTATTTAATATATATGCAAAGTACATCATGCGAGATGCTGGCGTGGGTGAATCACAAGCGGGAATGAAAAGATCAACCTCAGATATGCAGACGATACCACTACTGGCAGAAAGTGAAGAGGACCTAAGGAACCTCTTGCTCAGGGTAAAAGAGGAGAGCGCAAAAGTGGGCTTGAAGCTCAACATCAAAAAAAACCTAAGATCATGGCATCCGGCCCCATCACTCCTTGGCAAATAGAAGGGGAAGTCGTGGAAGTAGTGACAGACTTCACGTTCCTGGGATCCCAGATCACCGCAGACTGTGACAGCAGCCATGAAATTAAAAGATGCCTGCTCCTTGGGAGGAAAGCAATGGCGCATCTCAACAGCATGATAAAAAGTAGAGACGTCACCCTGCCAACAAAAGTCCGCATGGTCAAAGCAATGGTATTCCCAGTAGTCATGTATGGCTGCGAGAGTTGGACTATAAGGAAGGCCGAGCGCCGAAGAATAGATTCTTTTGAACTATGGTGCTGGAGAAGACTCTTGAGAGTCCCTTGGACTGCAAGAAGATCAAATCAGTCAATCTTAAAAGAAATCAACCCTGACTGTTCCCTGGAAGGCCAGATAATGAAACTGAAGCTCAAATACTTTGGCCACCCAATGAGAAGGGAGCACTCACTGGAGAAGACCCTGATGCTGGGAAAGATTGAAGGTCAAAGAAGATGGGACGGCAAAGGATGAGATGGTTAGACAGTGTCATAGATGCAACAAACATGAAATTGAGCAAACCTCAGAGGACGGCAGAAAACAGGAGGGCCTGGCGAGATCTTGTCCATGGGGTCGCGAAGAGTCGGACTCGACTGTGTGACTGAACAACAACATTGGGGGGGGGGGCTGACTTCAGCTGTATTTGTGTCTTATTAGGAAGATAATTGCAAGAATTTAGACAAATATTGGACAGAAAGGTTGCTTTGCTCCCTGCTCCCCACTGCAAAGTACACTGGTTAGGCCCTATTAAAAGCATTAAAAATTTAGTGTGAGCATTGCACTTTCTGATTTACGTTTTAGTCTGACTCATTCCCCATTATTGGAAACAATGTTTTGCGGTGTGCTGGACCTCCCCTCCCCTCATGGCTACTATGGCTTATTTATTTTATTCTCTCTTGTTCCGCCTTAGCATCTAGGACTGAACATGGAGATTCCCATTAGATATTCATCTGTGACTAATTACCCCTGATAGAGCCATCCTCTTGTCTGTTTGCCTAATCTTTTCTTTAAAACCATTGACTCCACTGGCCACCTCTCTATCTTCTGGCAGAAAATTCTATAAATTAATTGTGTGTTGTGTAAAGACTTCTGCACTTAAGTCACAAATTCATAGAATCATAGAGTCGGAAGGGACTTCCAGGGTCATCTAGTCCAACCCTCTGCACAAGACAGGAAATTCACAAATACTTCCCCCCCACACCCACAGTGACCACTGTTCCACACCCAGAAGATGACAAGAAACCTCCAGGATCCCTGGCCAAACCGGTCTGGAGAAAAATTGCTTCCTGACCCCAAAGTGGCAATCAGCATTTCCCTGGGCGTGTAAGAAAGGGCCACAAGAACTAAGCACTGAGGCAACCCTTCCTGCCCTCCCGCTCATGATCTGCCTACATTCACAGAATCCACATTGCTGTCAGATGGCCATCTAGCCTCTGATTCAAAACCTCTAAAGAAGGAAAGCCCACCACCTCCTGAGGAAGCCTGTTCCACTGAGGAACTGCTCTGTCAGGAAGTTCTTCCTAATGTTTAGCCAAAAACTCTTCTGATTTAATTTCAACCCGCTGGTTCTGGTCTGACCTTATGGGGCAACAGAAAACAGCTCCACACCATCCCCTAGATGACAGCCCTTCAAGTACTTGAAGATGGTTATCATATCACCTCTCATTCGTCTCCTCTCCAGGCTAAACATACCCAGCTCCTTCAACCTTTCCTCATAGGACTTGGTCTCCAGACCCCTCACCATCTTCGTTGCTCTCCTCTGGACACCTTCCAGCTTGTCTATATCCTTCTTAAATTGTGGTGCCCAAACTGAACACAGTACTCTAGGTGAGGTCTAACCAGAGCAGAGTAAAGCGATACCATCACATCTCGTGATCTGGACACTGTACTTCTGTTGATACAGCCCAAAATCGCATTTGCCTTTTTAGCAACCGCATCACACTGCTGACTCATGTTCAGTGTATGGTCTACTAAGACCCCTAGATCCTTTTCACACATACTACTGCCAAGACAAGTCTCCCCCAACCTATAATTATGCATTTGATTTTTCCTACCTAATTGCAGAACTTCACATTTATCCCCATTGAAATTCATTTTATTTCTTTTAGCCCAGTTTTCCAGCCTGTCAAGATCATCCTGTATCCTGACTCAGTCTTCTACCATATTTACTACCCCTCCCAATTTAGTATCATCTCCAAATTTAATAAGCATTCCCTCTGTTCATCCAAATCATTGATAAAGATGTTGAACAAAACAGGTCCCAGGACAGATCCTTGAGGCACTCCACTTGTCACTCCTCTCTCCAAGAAGATGAGGAGCCATTCACAAGCACTCTTTGGGTGCGATCTATCAACCAGTTACAAATCCACCTAATAGTCATAGGATCCAAACCGCATTAATCCAATTTGTCAACAAGAATATTATGTGGAACCTTTCAAAAGCCTTACTGAAATCAAGATAAACTATGTCTACAGCATTCCCTTGATCCAGCAAGGTAGTAAGTTTCTCCAAAAAAGAGACAAGGTTAGTCTGACATTACTTGTTCTTGAAAAACCCATGCTGGCTCTTAGTAATTACAAATGTCCTTTCTAAATGCTGTTTATTTGTTCTAGAACTTTTCCAGGTATAGACATCAAGCTGACGGGTCGGTAGTTACCTGGATCCTCCTTTTTCCCCTTCTTGAAGATGGGGACAACATTTGCGCACCTCCAAACTTCTGGCACCTCACCTGTTCTCCACCAATTCTCAAAAATAATGGACAGAAGCTCAGAAATTACATCCACAAGTTCTTTTAGTACCCTTGGATGCAGCTCATCTGGCCCTGTGGACTTTGTTTCATTTAAAGAAACTAGGTGTTTTTGCATTACCCCTATATCAGTCCTAGGCTGCAACTCCCTTCCCTCATCATGTGTTCTGTTTTTGTCACGTTGAGCACTCCCTTGCAAGAGAAGACTGAAGAAAAGTAGGAATTGAGCAGTTCTGCCCTCTCTTCATCACCTATTACAATTTCACTTTCCTGTCCCCACAATGGGCCTACCATGTCCTTGCTTTTTAGTGTTTCTCGCTAGCCTAAGCTCATACTGAGCTTTAGCTTTCCTAGCTCTCTCTCTACAAGCAGTGGTTATTTATTTATATTCATCCTTGGTTATAAGGCCCTTCTTCCACTTTCTGAATGAGTCTTTTTTATTTCTCTTTAGAAAGCTGTTTATGGAGCCACCTTGGCTTCTTTAGGTTCCTCCCATTTTTCCTTCTAGAAATCGTTTCTGATTGTGCCTTCAGTATTTCACTTTTAAGAAACTCCCATCCCTCTTGAACTCCCTTCTTCTTAAGTATTTCTGACCATGGGATTCTACCCAGCATAACTTTAAATTTGTCAGAATTTGCTTTCCTGAAGTCCAACCTATATGTCTGATTATGTACAGCTTTTACCTTCCCCAAAATTGTAAATTCCAAAATTACATGGTCACTATTACCCAGGGTGCCCATTACTTTCACCCCATCAACCAGATATCCGGTTGAAATCTCCCATGACCACCATGTCCCTCTTTGAGAACTTTATAATCTGTTCTAGGAGTGTCTCATTCAAATCCTCTGCCTGGCTTGCTGGTCTATAGCAGACCCCCACCATGATATCAGTATTATTTCTTCTTTTATTTTTACCCAGAGACTCTCAACTGGACTTTCATGCTCAGATGCATGTATTTCCTCACACAAGTATATACCTCGAACTCCTTTGCATATTAGGCCACACACCCCTAATGTAGCCAATCCTCCAAGAGCTTACAGAGCTCTTCTTACAGGGGCTACTGTAAGCTCTTGGAGGATTGGCTACATTAGGGGTGTGTCGCTTAATATGCAAATGAGTACCTGCTACAAAAAGAGCCCTGCGCTGGATTAGGGGTGTGTCGCCTAATATGGAGAGGAGTCCCTGCCACAAAAAGAGCCCTGCCTGAGCTCCTCCACCCTTCCTTATTTGTCTGTCCCTTTTAAATAAGTTATAATCCCTGAATCCAGTATTCCAATTGTGAGTGTTATTCCACTAAATTTCAGTAATGCCTATTAAGTCATAGTGCCCTTCCTGTATTAGGACTTCAAGTTTCTCCTGCTTGTTTCCCATACTCTGCACATTAGTGTAGAGAATCAGAATCCATGTTTCATGCACCCTGAGGTGTTTGTTTCTGTACTTACATGTCAGTTAATGTTATCTAACATATTTGCCACTCCCCGCAAAACTTTAGCGCTCTTATCTCCAGTTATTGGCTTTGCATTTTTGTCTTGCTCCCCCACAGGATTTAGTTTAAAGTTCTCCTTATTAGGTTTGCAAGGCTGTTTCCAAACACATTTTTTCCTACTCTCGTGAGGTGCAAACCATCTCCTGATAGAAGAGCTTCATCTCAAAAGTGTAAGCCATGGTCCAAAAATTCAAACTTTTCCTGATGACACCATCTATGTAGCCAGTCACTGATCTGCAGTATTCTTCTTTCCCTTCCTAAGCCACGGCCTTCATCAGGAAGAACTGACAAGAATACAACCTGCGCTCCCAGTTCATTCACCTTTTTACCCAGAGCCACATAGTCTCTTTTAGTGTGGTCTGGGCTGTGCTGGGCTGTATCATTTGTTCCCATATGGATGAGCAAAAAGGGATAATAATCCATGGGCTTGATGAGTCTTCCTACCCTTTCCATCACATCCTGGATGTGTGCACCCGGTAAGCAGCATACCTCTTGAGACAACAAGTCCAGTCGGCACACTTTAGCTTCTACCCCTCTCAGTAGAGAATCCCCAATTACCAACACATGCCAGTTTGGTGTAGTGGTTAAGTGCGTGGACTCTAATCTGGGAGAACCAGGTTTGATTCCCCACTCCTCCACTTGCACCTGCTGGATGAGCTTGGGCGAGCCATAGTTCTGGCACAGCTGTTCTTGAAAAACAGTAGCTTCTGTCAGAGCTCTCTCAGCCCCACCTACCTCACAGGGTGTCTGTTGTGGGAAGGGGAAGGGAAAGGAGTTTGTAAGCTGCTCTGAAACTCCTTTGGGTAGTGAAGGGCAGGATAGAAATCCAATCTCTTCTCTTCTTCTTCTTTGCCTATATTGGGGAGCAGAGACTTGAGTCCTCTCATCCACAGGGGTCTGAGAAATTTTCTTCAAGCTTTGTGGAGGCTGGGGGCAGAGCTCTTGTTCCAGTGGTTCAGAATCAATATCTGTGGGGAGATCCCGATTGCTTAATAACAGAGGCTCAGAATGTCTCTTGATCTTCCTGCCCCTGTGGGTTACGTTCTTCCATGTGCCTTCCTCTTGTGTTGGGTGCTCCTCCAGTTGCTGAGATACCTTTCCCTCCTCCTCCTGTTGGCGTCTCAGGAGTGCTTCATGCGTCCTATCCATGAACTCTTCACCTTCCCTTATAAACTGGAGTGTGGACAAGCATGCCTCAACTCCCCGTATCTTCTCCTCCAGCATGGCTACCAATTTACACTTGCTGCAAGTGTAATTGCTGTTACCCTCAGGTAAGAATACGAACATGCCACAGACTTTGCACGTCATTGCCTCAGCTCCCTCACCAGCCATGCTGTTGTAATCCTTTTCAAAATTAGTTCTGTTTAACTGACACTTCTTTGATAACTTCCCTGCCGAACTGCCTCTCAACTACTTGTGAAGGGTTTGCAGAAGCAAAAACTAACTTAACAAATATAGAGTGTAAGACCTACTCAGCCTTCTATGGAGTCCCCAGGCCAGACCCACAGGGCAAGAGCCTGGCAAGGAGAAGCCAAATATAATTAAGGCTCACCCAACAGAGGGCGGGGCCAGCAGTCAGCCCCAGGCAAAAGAGACAAACAGAAACCACACTCCCTCAAACAAGCGTCACTCTTCAACAGGTTATACACACCCACATACCCTCAAACACTATCCTCCCACACAGTAACCTCACCTACTCCTCAGCAGTTAAGGAAAGGCAAATAATGAAACACTCACCACTCCAGCAGCAGCAGCTCCCTCTCCTGCCCCTTCTCAGAGCCCAACTGGCTGTGGGCCCTTTCCCCTAAGCTCAGTCATAGGGGCTGTGATCACTTAGCAGCAAGGAAAAGTTTAGAGATGGAATTCAGGGTAACCTAACTGCATTATTTAGCTATGGCAGCACAACATCTCTAAACAGCAAATACCTACATTTCTCACTGTGTGACTCATAAATTTCCCTCTTGAGTCTTCTAATGATCACAGTTTCCAGATGCAGTCAGCACAATTCCATGTATGTTTACTACTAAGTCAATTCCTGTAAGTTCAACTGTACTTACTTCCAGGCAAGTAAGTATAGGCTTGCAGGCTACACTAGTTTAGTCAGTTGGTGGCTGGATCATGCACTGGGTGGTGGTGTGGGAATGCCTAGAAGACCACTGAGTCCAAAGGCTACTTGTACCACTGCTACAACTTCCCTCCCACTGCTCTCAAGGGCCTCCTGGCCTCAGGAGCAAATCTTCGGGTGGGTCTGTGAGGCTGCAGAAGATGGGACAGATACCGTCTGCTAGTGGAGCTCAACGTGTGAGTCTTGGCTGGCCTCCAGATCATGAAGTCATTCATTTATAGATTCCTGCTCACCAAACTGCCATTAGAGGGAGAGGGAGAGGCCAGGCCATTTCCCCCCCTTCAGTCTTGTTGGCAGCTCCATACCTACTACGGTTGAAACTTACATGAAGGTGCTGTCTCGGGTGATGGATCCATCTGGCCCATTTTGGATATCAATGCCAGAGATTAGCTGATTTTCATAAATTAGTCTGTCACCGATCACCTAGGAAGTACAGAAATACTACGGTTGAAACTTACATGAAGGTGCTGTCTCGGGTGATGGATCCATCTGGCCCATTTTGGATATCAATGCCAGAGATTAGCTGATTTTCATAAATTAGTCTGTCACCGATCACCTAGGAAGTACAGAAATAATGGAATATGTATTCATCTACACAACAATTTCAGCACTGTCCGTTTCCCCTGGCTTAAAAGCAGAGGCATTCTCACCTGGACTGTTGTGCCACACTGGGTCAGGGGGAAGCGAAAGACAAGGAAAGCCTCTGTTCTCCTGACAGGGTCACACCCCGCTTGGGCGTAAGACAGCTTAACAGTGTCAAGGACAACTGGGTAGTCTGACATGTCCCTGGAGACAACCAGGATGAAGTGGCCTTCCTTGAGGCATTGAACAGTGACTGCAAGGAGTAAAAGGATCATAGAACAGGTCTCAGCAATAGAGTGACAACAGCTACGGTATCTTCATAATCCATTTGCCCTCTGGGAGATGGCAGAGCCATTTCAGCAAAATGTGTAAGATTCTGTTGTACAGCTGCATCATCCTCTTGGCTCCCCAAAGCTCACAAACAGGAGACATTCACAATGCAGCACCAGATAGTTCTTGAACAATCACACCAATATTAGGAATTCTGTTCACCAATCAGATGCCAGGTTTTACCTGTGTTTCCATAGTAACAAGGAGTACTAATGTCACTGTCGTCATAGCAGCAGCTAGCTTGACGGCACGTTGCTTGATCATAGGTATCAGCACAAGGGATTTTGCTTCCCAGAACTCGACATTGTTCCATTGTTAAATGAGTGCCTGCAAGAGCCCAAAATAAAAGCATACCATCAATTCATTCATCTGTGGGAAGATGCACAAGCACCTTGATGCTGAATTTGTATAGTGCATCCTCACCTGTACTGTTTGGGCACACATTATCAGCACACAAAACATTCGGCACTAATATCATTGCCGGTTTCATACTGAATCCTCTACTAGCACCCAAACAAGATTTCAGAATTCAGTTTTTCATTATCAAATACCAAAGGTTTCTATGAAACCCTCTTCATTGTTTGTTTTATTAGGCATCAATAAATATTGACCGACATAAGTATGCAGCAATAAGACACTTGGTGTTGAATAGTTATAAGACAACATTACATTTTACGGTACAGAGCAGCAAGATTTATCTTGGAGAGTAGAGAATGACATACGTTCCCACACAAAGAAAGCATATAAAAAGTCTGTGGCAGAGATAGAAAACAGGTTCATCTAAAAGTAAGTATTTAATAGATTTAATACATACCTGACTACTTGCTGGAATAACTATGTCAGTATATTACTTAATATTGTAAGGGGAATTCAAAATGTCAACTCGGGTAGTAGCCAGGGGTCATTTCATAGAAAAAGAGGTGCAGGAGCTCATTATCATAACTCATTAGCATAACTTATTTGCATATGCCACACCCCCTGACATCACCAGAAGTGTGTCAGAAGGCAACACCCACCGCTCAGGCTCCACTGGACTGTTTTGGATTGCTAGCTATTGGGGGGAGGAACGTGCAGATCTGCCCTCGTAGAGGAGGGAGAGCTGGTACCTGAATAAAACTTGGTCTTAAAGGTGCCACTGGACTGTTTGGGGCCATTTCAAGAGAATTATGAGCAAAAAGATGTCATCTAGAGTTGGCAGTGCCACATTCAGTAAATGCAGAACCCAAAGTTGTGCTTAATGAGGGAACTCATCATGCATGCTGAGCATTTGAAAACCAAGGAATAGTTATTACATAGTAGAAGTTCACATACCTATGTTGTATATTGAAGGATAGAGGTGAGGCAGCGGGCGCACCGGGCCAGGCTGGGGCTGGGCAGGCAGCGGGCGCACCGGGCCAGGCTGGGGCTGGGCAGGCAGCGGGCGCACCGGGCCAGGCTGGGGCGGCTGGGGCACGTGTCGCATGCCATCCTCTGGTGTTAAGATGTGCTCTTCTGGTTTAGGGCAGACCATGTTGATATCGTTAAAAGTAGCAACACGTCTACTTCTTGTCAGTTCCTCCACTCGGACCTTCAAGTGATTCCGGCCATTCTGAAAAAGTCATCAAATTCGAATGTTATGGTAATGCCACTCCAAGTCTCTGATGTTTTGGCTACTTGTGCTTGGGGTGCCAGATCAAGTTTTACACAGCTTAGTCATTTCTAGTTGAGAACATACCTGCAGAAAAATAGCAATCTTTTTTTCCTTGTGGGCAACATTTTAATTTTGGGAGGGGGCAGTAATTATGAAGGGTAAGGTAAACACTGACTGTCTAAATGTGTTGGTATTTCTAGGCTGCAAATGGTCAAGGTTTTCCTAAAAGGAGGTCTTGGCAGTTTACAAAAACAGACTTAGATTCTGTAGCTTTTGCTGTAGTGATGAGCCAAGATCATCATCTTCTTAGCAAAATGTTGTTCTCTTTCTCTGACTTTTGGAGATTAGGTTTACTCTGTCCACAACCTGTGGTCTCCCCATAGGTGCCTATAGATCAGAGTATATCAGACGCTGCCTTATCCTGAATCAGAGCCAGGGGCGTAGACTTTCCAATTTCCCGGGGGTGGGGGTGGGCTGGGCCAGAGGCCTGGGTGGTGCCAGGTCCTTAAAAGAACTGGGGCCCAGTGACATCATAGGGAGGAGCCAGTGACATCACAGGCCATTGTCACTATCTATGGAGGCAGAGCCATATGAGATTTAGGGAGGGGCTTTCCATAAATGTTGGGGGGGTCTGAAAACCCCTGGGAACACAACACCCCCATCAATGCCCCTGCACTGGGAGGTGGCCAGTGATTGTAGTGGTATCTCAGTTATCTCTGGCTGTGTCCTGTTTTTGAAATTCACTTTTAGAATAGTCACTTTAAGATCTGCAGATATACAATCCATGTGCATAAGACACACAAATGGTCACAAATTGGAAAATAAGGAGGGCAACACAGAAAAGCCTGTAGGGGAACATTTTAAAAGTTTTCCTGGACATTCGTTTCCAGGAGTCTTGTTTCTGCCTTATTCATAAAGGTGACTTTGTACTAAATTGTGGCATCACAGATTCCTTCGTTTGGTAAATGCATGGCTGGAGTCTCTGAGTCAGGGCAGAATACAAAACAGTTGCTGTGCCCTCAATTTCTGAGCAATGTACAGAGTTCAGAGTAGTAGCAATCTTCTCAGTACTGCTGGACTGGAATAGCAGTCCCTGGGATTAGCAGAAGTGTTCTGGGATTGGTATGACAGCTCCTGGGATTTGCAGCAGTGTCCTGGGACTATCATTCTATTCTAAGGGCTGTCATTCCAGTCCCACAGCACTGAGCCTATTCCCAGGGGCTGTCATTCCACTCTGTGACCAGCCATTCCAGCCCCAGAGCACAGATTCTCTTCCTAGGAGCCATCACTCCACTCTGGGGGGGGGGTGTCATTCTAGTCCCAGAGCTGAGATTCTATTCCTAGGGACTGTCTTGTGTGCATGCAAACAAAAGCTCATACCCTGACTAAACCTTAGTTGGTCTTAAAGGTGCCGCTGGACTCTAAATTTGTTTTACTCTGAGTGCTGTCATTCCAGTCCCAAAATAGCCTGTCTGGGCCCAAAGACCTTAATGGAAAAACCATTCCACATTTCCTTTGCAACTTTTTTTGTGCTGCAATGTATTTCAGTGGAGCCCATACAAGTCAATTGGCATTCCTTGCTCCCATTATCTCCAATAGGACTTCAAGCCTCTCCCATTGTTTTCAGTGGGCAATCCTGTCATTCCTTTTAGTACATCCCAGTTGGTTGCCCCTTTGAAACTATACCAGACCATTTTAAGTAACAGCAAAATGAAGAGTGTGAACATGTACAGAGTGCTCATTCCTAGCCAATGTTCTCTCTTAGCTGCTCACAGGGTAAAAGGGAATTTTAAAAGGTCTCTGATCTGCATGTCTCCTCGCCCCCCAATCTTGTCTGTGGCAAAGAACGTTATCAAGTCTCTTTCCCCACTGTGGTAAAGGCAGTTAAAGTTTCTAAAGACTAGCATTTGCTAGGAGAAGGGGGGGAGAGAGAAAGGGGATGTTTAACAATCCCATTGTCTATCCTGCTAGCTCAATTAAGTTTTTGTAAGAAAGTGAGCCTGGAAGGGAAAAATTGAGGCCAAAATAAAATAACCCACACAGGAAAGTTTTAAACTCAATATTGCCAGGCACTGGTTTGCCGGGGAAGGCTCAGTCCTCCCTGGAAAAATTTGGGAAAGGCCTGGGTCCCCAAGCCCCTCCCATAGTTTACGCTTATGAATCAGAGCTTTAGTCCATCAAAATCAGTATTGTCTACTCAGACTGGCAGCGGCTCCCCAGGATCTCAGGCAGAGGTCTTTCACATTACCTCATGCTTGATCTATATTAACAGAAAGCTTTGTTACAGAGACATTTCAACATAGGAAGTAGCAAGTAACTCAATTTGGACACAGGTTTTTTTTGTGTGTGTATTTTTGCATTTTGTGTATGTGAGTGCCCATGCCTGGAAAAGAAGAAGAGAAGAGATTGGATTTATACCCTGCCCTTCACTACCCAAAGGAGTCTCAGAGCAGTTTACAAACTCCTTTCCCTTCCCCTCCCCTATGAGGTAGGTGGGGCCGAGAGAGCCCTTTCGAGAACTGCCCTTGAGAGAACAGCTCTGAAAGAACTTATGACTGACCCAAGGTCACACCAGCAGCTGCATGCGGAGAAGTGGGGAATCAAGCCTGGTTCTCCCAGATTAGAGTCCACGTTCTTAACCACTACACCAAACTGGCTCATGGAGACCTCTGAAGACTCCTACTGGGGCATGGAGGATGTTCAGAGAAGTGGCTGGATAGCCTTCATCGGCCTCCCAACCCTGGTATCCTTTGGAGATCTCCCATTCAAATACTTGCCAGGGTCAAAGATCTGATGAGATCAGGCTTGCCTGGGCTGTCCAGGTCAAGGCGACACAGATTTAAAAAAAAGAAAAGAAAAGAAATGGAGCGACACACTTTTTTCATGGGGATACCTTGGTACAGATTTAAAGCCTGGTGCATGTGTTTCAATATCATCCCATATAGAGCAAGTATTAACCATCCTATAAACACAGAACAGAGTTTTTCATAATTCTGTCCTTTCCAACAACTACTTTGTTCAACAACGACTTCCCACAGCACTAAACTAAAATTTCCGACATTTCAATTAGCAACATCTTGCCTCAAAGTCTACAAACCTACACTCGTCTGTTCTTCCCCGACACTACCCATTACCTTTCCACCCCTGGCCAGCAGGGCCTCAGAGCAGTAGCTGTTAGACCTTACCTTGTACTGCACGTGGCAGCCCTGGTAGCCAGCAGAAAATACTGCTCTGTCCTCATTGGATGTGACCCAGTGAAGGCAGATAGAACAATTTGTAACTTCAAAGGCTGTTCCAAATTCATCTGTGGACAATTATAATCTGATGTTTTACTGTTTGTGAACAATGTTAAGTAGCATAAATTTTTCTAAACAGAGCAAAGATGTGGATCAGTCAATTAGATGCTATGGTACTCACCCAGAAGCATTCATTAAAATCCATTCATTATTTCCATGTGGGTTCCTGCCACAGTAATCTCAAGGCTACACTATTTTAATACAGTCTACATGAGTCTGCACTTAAGATAGCTCAGAAACTTCGGCTGGTACAGAACACCATGGATTGACTGCTGTATGGAGCTAGGCAGAGTGTGCATATTACATGTGTTCTACAGTCATGCCACTGGTTACTAATTAGTTCACAGGTTCAAGTTGTTGCTTATTATTCATTTATTTGATTTATACCCCGCCCTCCCCATAAAACCTTGTATGGCTTAGGAGCCCCCTATTTGCAGAACTGCCTCTTCTGTTATGCTCCACTAGGACAGCTTGGCTTACCCAAGCAAAGCTTTCTCCAAGATCAACAACTGCCTGCCTGCCCGCCTGCCCTCTCTGTCTCTGGCTCCCACCTGGTGGAATGGCCTGCTGGAGGAGGTGAGGAAAGGTCATTCAACAGAATGTGTAAAGCAGAATTTTGCACAAAGGAAATAAACTTCAACAACAGAGAATTGTTCAGGAGGACATTTTATAAAGTGAATAGGATTTAACTGTCTAAAAATTGTAGGCAGGTTTTTAAAAATTCCTGCATTGAGTTCTCATTCTGTAATCTGCCTTTGGTCTCAGTAAGAAAGGAAGGCAGACCATACATGAAGCAGACAACCTGTCTGGAGGTGTCCCCTGACCCTTGGAAGCAACATGGACAGGAGCCAGATAGAGTTTACAGTAGGGACACCTCTCAATGTCTTCCAGATATTGAGTGAACATGTTCCTGCAAAGACATTTTAAGGGCTTCTAAGATGGTAGACCTTTCATTCCAATAATAGAACAACAGCATTACAAGGCAATGTACATTTATCTTTAAGCTAAAATATCATTTCTAGGTAGGTTTTTTTTTTTTTTTTTAAACCCTTCAGTAAAAATTTCTGTCTTAAGAAAATTGCTGATTTTCCCAGACAAATTCCTATTTACAAGCCTTCAGTAATCATACACTGAAAATAGGAAATACCTAGAAACCATGTCAGCTCTCTTTGTTTCATCCTAAATTTAAGTTTAGATCATTTAAATTTGTAGTAAATTTTTATTTATTGGAAAGCTAGGATTCTAGATGGATCCTGAAGGACAAAACAGTCCTCTCTTATGTGGATTTGAGAAGCAGGTTTACAAAGTAGAGAGAGACCATGTCTCATAGTTTCAGAGAGAAAAAACCTGCTAGAAAGTTTCTTTAAAAATTAGCCACAGTCATAGTTTGATCAAAGTACTGGAATACTAGAGGCGTCTTAAGTTCTCATAAAGGTCATGGACACCTGGCCCATACCAAACAGTGGGAGAAAGACAGCATTAAACCCAGAGGCAATGCTTAAGTGGGAAGGCGATGAAGTATAACCCAGCAGCCCATCAAGGCCTGAGATAAGGGAGACAAGCCAGGCTCCCACTCTAAGGGAAACCTGCGTTTTCAGGCAGAACAACTTTTGCTATAAGGGAAAGTTCTACCTGTTTTTGTGCAAGGCCCCCCCCCCCATTGGTTTGTTGCTCAGCTACTCCGCTATCTTACTATAGCTAGTTATTTCAAAATTAGCTTTTTTATCTTATTTTTTACAAAGCAACTGGCCTTTTGTTAGTATAGCATCCGTTATCCACAGATCCTAGAATATTTGTCAGCACCAACCAAACTATAACTGCAGCCTACCCATAAAGGCTTATGTCTAAAAGCTACTGAACTGATAGCCTGTAGGACAGCCAGCCCCAACAGGGTCAGAAAGTGAAGCCTCTCTACATCATGGTTTAGAAAAACACACACCCTTATTTGGTTCAAAAATCAAAAGTGAGAGAGGAGTCAATAAGAGACACTTACCAACAACTTTAAAGCGGACATTAAGATTTGGTTTAGGGAGCACTACTAACTGCATGCTGCGCTCTCCACAATCATATCTATGAGGCAAAACGGGAAAACTCGCAGGCAGGAGTCCCTGCTGCTGCCCACAGGACAAGCCCACTAGAAACAACAACAGGAGTGTTAAGGCTCTGCAGTAGCTGCAGCCTAACATCGCTGCTGTGGTGCAAAAGCAAAAGCACCCACGATAGTCTTAGTGTAGTTCCACTACCCAAAAGTGCTCAGGGACTGGCCTTTATAGTGAGGGGAGGGGTTGTGAAACTCTTGGGCAGACTGGCACCTGGAGCTGCTGTGTGGAACTTTTCGAGGGGTCATGTCAAAAGTGCAAAGTTCAGAACAGAAAGGAAATGAGTAACACCCATGTGCCACCAAATTGTTCTGGTACACCTTCATGTGTGACCTTCTCCTATAACCAGTCTCTCTCCTTCCTTCCTTCCTTCCTTCCTTCCTTCCTTCCTTCCTTCCTTCCTTCCTTCCTTCCTTCCTTTTCTCTTTCTCCTTCTATCTTTTTGTCTCTTTTAGAAGTGCTGAGAACTCAGATTTCCTACCAGACCCCTTGAGTTGTGGGCAAGTCAAATGAAACTGATCTTGAAAAGAAGGGACTGAGAATTTTGCCTGGAACTGGCAGGTGTCATGCGTGCCTGACCTCAGGTCACAGAAGTGTCATTGGCATATTGTGCTGTACTTTTCAACTTCTGACTTTTATTTTAAAGTACAGTTGTGTCTTGTGCAGAAATTCAACAAATGCATCTTTTCCTGGAATGCTGGGGGAAATAATCACTTTTTGAATCTCTGACTGTTAAAAATAAAAATCCCCTTTTAGAGGAAAAACGGACAACCCAAGTGTGAGGTACCCTCCTCCCTGTATGACTTCTGCCATCCCCTTTCCTTTCACCTCAGAAGCCCAAACCTTTCTCCTGACAGATATAAAAGAATGGCACTGAGAGCGTGGTTTTAAATAACATAAGAGGTAAGATTTATTCTTTAAAAAAGTGTAGGGAGAAAATGGTTTTAAAGGTTTTATCTGAACTAAACAGTTGGCCACCAGCCAGTTTCTACTATGAGCTCTCTTCACACTGTTGCAGGCTTCTTAAAAGTCAGGCAGGGATAATAAGAGCAACAAACCCTCTACGATATTTCTTTGCCATAGGCAGGCAGTTGTAATGTTACAGATCATCTACAATGCATAACTCAAGGCTTCCCAGGTGGGCTGGAGATCTGTCTGTCCCTGCTGGGACTTTCCCCGGGGAGAATAGAACGACAGTCCTTCCCTCTGTGTGTGTGTGTGTGTCTGTGTGTGTGTCTGTGTGTTGGGGTGCGCACTCTTAAACAGAGGCCTGCCCTTTTGACTCTGGCAAAACCTCTCCGCAGAGTCTCATCTGTCCCTCTGCTCTGTGACACCCTCCTGTGTCACTGTGCCCCAGACTAAGGGGTTTCCCTCAGAAGGAAGCCCCCCCCAAAGCCCCTTCTCAATAACTCTCTCCCAGAACCCAGCTCCTCCGACCGTCTCTCTCTCCCCCCAACTGATTCCCCTTTCCCCCTCCGAGCCGAGCCGCCTCCTGGATGCATTCCGCTGTTCTCACCAGTCAGAGAGAGCCTCTCCCACTGCCTACTTAGTTCATCCCACCAAGTATCCGTGGCTTTTATTTCCAGCTGATGTGGGGTTGACACTGCTCATTAACTGATTTATTTCTAGTTCATCATAATCCTCAATACACATTTTTGTTCTGAACTGTGGATTTCAGGTAATGTGACTGTTGCAGCTTGTGCAGCAGGATGGACAATGAGCTGTGGAGATGGGTTGTCTACTACCTGGAGAAAAATGTCTTGTCACTTTAACAGAGGCTTAATAGTTTGTTATTTCAGGTGATGTTATTTACCTGCATGACATCAAAAGATTCAAACCATAGGACATTTTTCTCTGGGCTTCTGAAGCCAGTGTAAGCTACCCTCAGGACTGTATGATAATGGCGTGTGAATCTTCCATGTGTTTAAATTGACACATATGGAAGAAGAGACATTTGACCATTATTCCCTACCATATGGATTTCCTGTAGAGTTTAGACATCCCTGTACTATTAACATGCATCTTGATGGATGTGAGGAAAGAAGCAGGAGATGGTTTTCCTGGCATGGAGAGAAACATTAAGATCTGCTCATTGCACACATCAAGTCACTGTTATTGAAGGCACAGCTACAGTTAACGAGTTGGCAGTCCCCCTAATTACTCATTTGGGAGTATCTTCCTATTAGCAACCATGGATGCTGAGCTAATTTTTTTCAGCTGTTCTTCAAATGATCTATGCAAAGTGTACTGAGTACTTAAAAACAGTCCCATATAAATTTAAAGTGAGCCAGTGTTGTGTAGCAGTTAAGAGTGTTTGATTAGGTCCTAGGAAGTCCTGGGTTCAAATACTGACCCTGTGATGAAACCTACTGGGTGACCTTGGGCCAGTCATTCTCTGCTGTGCTCACACACTCTAAATAATCCACTTTCAATCCACTTTCAATGCATTTTCAAATTGGATGGTTGTGAGAAGAAACTGGAGGGACAAGGAACCACTATATACCACCCTGAGCTCCTTGGAGGAAGGGCGGGATAAAGTTATATAAAATAGATGGATAAAATAGTAGATTGCATCGTTTACATGGATTTCTCTTTTGAGCTGCCTCCAACAAATCTTTGGTGAAGGCATATAATTAAAAAAATGTATGGTTGTTAGTATTTTTAAATCAGCACGATCTTTCCAATTCTACAGCACTGATTAGTTTGCAAAGTGCTCTGTTATTTACTGCTATTTCACTGCTTCATTTGCCACGCTGTTCTGCCACAGAAGTTTGCTCGATGACCTTGGGCCAGTCAACCACTCTCAGCCTGACCTACCTCACAAGGTTGTTGTGAGGATAAAATGGAGAAGAGGAAGGCATAAGGGTTCCCACTGGGGAGACAGGAGGGGTATAAAGGAAGTAGGTAAA